CGCTGCCTCCTTCCTGCTTCTGCCCCCAGGTCAGGATGAGCTCAGCTCCCTGCCGAGGTCCTTGGTACCGGTCCCGGCAGGATGCAGGGGATACTGAAGGGTTGAGGCTGGATGGGTACTGGACGGCTGCTCATTGCTAAAGGGGGAGATCTGGGAATTAAGATCCAAGGAGAAGTGGGCTGGATGCTTGTGGACATGGGGGAGGAAAAGAGGCTGGATAGAGCAAGACCTCCATCCAGTTTTGCCCCTTGGACATGGTTTTAGTGCATCGGTTGTGCAGGGTGCAGCTGCTTGGGGCAGCTCCTGGGGTGCTGGATGCAGCGGAGGTGCCCTTTGAGAACCAGGATCAATGGGGAGGGAGGGAAATCTCCTTGTCTTCTGCTCTTGATCCTTGACAAAAAGGTTTTGCTGCCTTGTGAGGGGAGCACTGCCCCTGTCTCTGCTCGGAAGAGCATCAGCCTGGAGCCGGGGTGGCTTGGGGGGGGGGGACGGACGGACGGACAAAATAAGCACTGCACACACACACCCCACACCCCCCCCCCCGCCTGGCCAAGGCGCCCTGTCTGTGGCCATGCCCCGGAGTTTGCAGATGTCGTTTGAGTTGGTTTCAGGGCTGATCCCTGCCAGCTCGAGTCACGCAGCAGAAGGTTGTGACAAGGGGAGGGAGGAGGGAGACTGCGTCCTGCAAGCTGGAAGTGATGGGGGGGGGCTCCTTCTTCAGCAGCACCCCATAGTCCCCGCTCCGCTGCCCCCCCCCGAACCAGAGCCCCTGTGCAGCGCTGACCTTGTGTGATGGGTGGCAGGAGGGTGGCCGCTGGAGCTGGGTGCTGTGAGGGGATGGGGCTCGCTGGGGTTTGCAGCTCCGGAGCACCAGGAACTGCTCTTCCCTGTTGGAAAAGTGAGATCGTTCCCCGGAGGCTAAGGTGGCTCAAAGCAGAGAAGGCGACCAAAATCCAAGGATTTAATACCCTTGGGATAACGTGGCTGGGATTTCAGTCTCTCCTGTTCAGCTTCTTGTAGGCACAATGACAAACCCTCGGGAACGCGGCCGTGGGGCTGGAGCATGGGAAGGGGGGGGGGGGTGCCAGGATCCTTCCCTTTGGCAGCGCCGTTGGATGCTCCGTGCCCGGTTTGGTTCAAATGGAAAGTGTGGCTCATGGCAGCAGCCGCGCTGATGATGAATGCGCTCGTGCTGCCGGGCACCTGCCCGCCCGCCTGGCACCGAAGGGAAAATAGCCCCGATGGAGCCAGCCCGGCCTCTGTTGCAGCCCGGGGGCCAACGGCAGCGTTCCCGTGTCGGTTCCTTTGGGAATGACGGCCGGCATCCTGCGGGGATGTGAGGGCAGGGGTGCTCGGCAGGGGCGTCCTGCAAGCACTGCCCCACATCCCTGTAGGCTCCCAGTGGGAAGGTGGATGTTGGGAGCCCCAGGGCAGGGTCCCTGGGGTTGTGGCCGTGCTGGGTGAGGAGCTGGGTGCTGCTGTAGTTGATTTACCCGGTGGGGGTTTTGGTTCCTGCCTGGTCCCTGTTGCTTCTTTTGTTTCCCTGCCTGGCTCCCTTTGGCTCCTGATAACAAGTGTACCTGGTGTGGTGAAATAGGGTGGGGAGTGCTTTTGCCAAGTCCCCCTGTTTTCCAGGACTTGGATGGGGGTCCTTGGTGCTCCCCATCCCTCTGCTCTGCGTTTGGGTGCCTCTCCCGGCAATCCTGCTCCGGATGCTGGGAAAGAGGGGATGGGGCAGCCTCCAGCCTGAAAACTCATTAAAAAGCCTAAGTCCCCTTTTCTCGCCTGCATTAGCACAAGAATAAATAGTGCATATTTTCAGCCCTGGGAGCCCCGTCTCTGGTTTCACCCAGCTCCTGTTAGCATTAACCCTGGGCTGAGGTGCAGGGCAGGAATGTCCTGAGCACAGGAAGAGCCTCGGGACATGCGGGGGAGCCTAAACAGAGGAATTCACTTGGGGGCCCCATCCCCTCCCTGGTGCGGAGCCAGCCTGAGCCAGGTACAATGGAGCCCCTAATCCCGGCTCTTACCGTGGGGCCGCAGCTCTGCAGCGGGAGCATCCCCCAGCGCCGGGCACCGTGTCCAGGCTGGGGAGCAGGGGGGGTGTCCCCATCCTGTGGGATTCTGGTGTGCTCAGGAGCCGGCTTCGGGGGAAGCAGGGGCGGCGTAGTTGAGGGGCTCTAAATTTCACTGCGTTTACTGCTAAAAGGAGTTTTGTTTGGCACGAGAGGAGCCGCAAGGCTCAGTGGGGAGCCCCAGTGTGAGGAGCGGGTGCCAGGCTCACAGCTCTGGACCAGCAGCGCTGTTAAATGCGGTTTGAGCAGAGGTTGGGTCCGTGTCCCACTGTGGTGGTCCCCAGGGGCTCGAACCTGGATTTTGCCAAAGCCCATCACCAGTGGCTAGAGCCAGGACCTGCTTTTCTGGTCCTGGCTCTGCCAAACCCCTGGGGCACCCATCCCGGCTGATGCAAACGCTATTGCAGCGCATCCTGCTGCGTGTGCGGGGGGTCCCATCGCCTTTGTCCTCCTTGGATCCCAAGGGATGGGGTCCCAACAGGGGGGTACGCACAGGGCGCATCCTCCCCAGCTCCCCCGGCCACCGCATCCAGCGCATCCCCAGGGCCAAGCCCCGGCCTTCCCCATCCCCGGTCACCGCTAGTGGCCACTGCCGCCGTGGGCTGCCGGGAGCACCGGCGGAGCCAGAGAGTCCCCGCAGCAAGATGGCAGCTCCCGTGCGCCCGTGAGCGCGGCGGCGGCCGCCGAGGCTTTGTTCGCTGCCTGCGGATGCCGCTCGGATGCGTTGTTGTCCCGTTGGCTTCGCGCTGTTGGGTCGGGGCTGGGCTTTGTAAATTAGGGTTCGTTTGGGGTTTTCCTATTTAAGAACCCCAAACCTGGGAAGTTTGCGAGCCCCCCCCTCACCCCAAAGCTTATGGCAGCCTTTACATGGTACGTATGCAGGGAGAGGGCTGGCTGCGCGGGGCTGGGGGCCGGGGTCGCGCGTTAGGTGAGGGCTGATGAGAGCTCGTCCTCCTGCAAGTGAATCCTGGTCCTGCCCCAACTTCCCCGCAGGCGATGCTGTGCCCTGCGTGGGGACCAGCGGGATGGGGGGTACCTGGTGTCACCCCCTCCTGCGCTGCTGCTGCTCCCCATGGCCAGCCGGGAGCGATGCGCGCGGTGCAGTGAAGGAGGCAGCACTGGTGCTGGTGCGCAGTGGATGCTGAGGGCAGGGATGCTCCATCCCCAGCTCTCCCCACAGACCCTCAGTGCTGTTTGGGGGGTTTCCTTCCCAAGGTTTTGTTGGAGCCGGTGCTGGGGTAGGTAGGGACAGGTTTGGGAGTGAATGGGGTCTGTGACAGGGAGGGAATGGGGGAATCAGCCCACCCCCCCCCGAGCCATGCAAGGGGACACTGAGCTCAATGCCTGCCCCGTGCAGGGATCGGGGTAGTGGGGCTGAGGCAGGTTGGGCTCACGAGCCATGAGTGAGGTTGTGCCTGCAGCTGGGGTGAGCCCCAAGCTCTTGGGGCACAGCAGGAGCACTGCTGCAATCCCAGCCCTGCAGAGCCCGTGTCCCTGGGGAATGTCTGATGGGTGCTGGCAAGTGCAGGGGAAGCATTCAGCAGGACGGGGCTGGGCTTTGGCTCTCGTTGCAAGCCCATTGCAGCTCCCAATTAACGTGCTTCCGAGGCCACGCTGCTCCGGCCGGTGCTCGGCGGCGCTGGGATGGGCAAGGAGATGGAGGCAGCTTTGTTGGGAGCAGTGGGAATCGTTCCCTGGGTGCTCCTGGCCGCACCGTGCTGCGGCATGGGAAGCAAACAAACCCATGTTAACCAGAGCAAGAGCAGAATGCAGAGAGAACCCGTGTGCCTGCTGTGAGCCTTGGGAGTCCTGTGCTCCCTGGGGGAGGAAGAAACCCCCATCAGGGCCGTGGCCTGGGGGTTCTCTCTGCTTCCTCGGAAGCTTTTGCTGCCGACTGTGGTTACAGCTGAGTTTTGGGTTAGCAAAGCCCGACTGTGACCTGGGCTGGCTGCAGTGCCCAGGGCAGCCCGAGGGGAGCCCCTGCTCCATGGGGATGGGAGTTGGCAGCTCTGACACCTCAGTCAGGAGGGGTTCCCCTTCCCAAGGGGCTGTGAGAGCAGCTCTGGCTCTTGGGGCTTATTCTTGGGACAAACCCCAAGTTCCTCCTGAGCTTCTCAGCCATGCTCTGCCCTGTGCTGCTCTTGTTTGCCTCCGTTTCCCTCTGTTTTGGTTCTCCCCTTCCCCACCCTCCGCTGGGTTCCTCCTCTTCCTCTTCCCACCGCTTTTATCAAGGTTCAGTGTTGGTTTTCAATCCAGTTCATGGAGGAATGCAAGGACTGGACTGAGAGGGGCTTGAGTATAGGGAGGGACTTAAGTGGATGCATAAATACTGCAGCTGCCTGCTTTCAGTATGTAAGTGCTTTCAGCCTCTGGGCTCTAGGAGGTGTTTGGAGCCCTGGCTGGAGTGGGTCCAGGGCAGTGATTGTGCTGGCATGGCCCTGCTGCCACCAGATGTGACTCGGGCAGTTTGTGGGGTAGGGACAAGCAAAGGAGGAATGAGAACACCCGCGAGCATGGGTTTCTGCTGGTGTCCAAGTCACCCTCGTGCAGCTCCAGGGCTCTGGCACTTGCTGTCAGCAGCGGGTGCTGCCCTTTGTGGGGGTGAACGCTTGTTTTGAGGAGCATCAGCAGCAGCGCGGAGGCCTGGCGTGATGGGGAGCGTGGTTGGGTGTCCCCGTGGTCATGCAGAGCGTGCGAGGTGCCAGTGCCACCGCTGACACCGCGAGCTCCCAGTGGCACCCCTAGCAGCCAGGAATAAGCGATGAGCGCAGGCTGAGGTTTGCAGGGCCCTAATCCCTTTCCCTTGTGTCTCTTTCGTCTCCAGTCGGACCAGGAGAGTTGTAATAGACCTTCTTACTAGAATTAAATGTAGAGGCTGCTCCTCCAAGGCACGGTTCAGTTCATCTGTAGCGTTTGATTTCCCAGCCCCAGCAGTATGGTGCCTCCAGGGAAAAAGCCAGCTGGGGAAACTTCCAATTCCAATAAAAAGTGTAAGCGCTATTTCAATGAGCACTGGAAGGAGGAATTTACCTGGCTGGAGTTTGACTATGAGCGGAAACTCATGTTTTGCCTAGAGTGTCGGCAGGCGCTGGTGAAGAACAAGCACGGTAAAGCCGAGAACGCCTTTACCGTGGGCACGGACAACTTCCAGCGCCACGCGCTGCTGCGGCACGTCATGTCGGGCGCGCACCGCCAGGCGCTGGCCGTCAACCGCGAGCAGTCGGCTTTCGAGGGCCGCGTGCCCCCGGAGCTGCGCCCGGTCCTCAAGGCGGAGGTGAACCCGGCGAAGGTGGCCGTGCTCGCCACCGTCTACTGGATGGCGAAGGAGGACGTCCCGCGGGAGCAGTGCTCCTCCCTGCTCGACCTGCAGAAGTTCAACCTGTGCCAGGCGCTGCTGGCCTCTGAGCACAGCCAGTTCTACCACGCCGGCTGCGCCAGGGAGATGCAGGTGTGTATGGCCGGGGCTCCGCCGGTGCAGAGAGGGGCTCTTTGTCAGTGATAGGAGAAGGGGTGATGGGTTCAGACTGAAACAGGGGGGATTCAGGTCAGATGTAAGGAAGAAGTCAAGGTGCTGGCACAGGGTACCCAGAGAAGTGGTGAATGCTCCATCCCTATGATTCGGTGATTGTGTACTTCATGCTGCTTCAGGGCAGACGGTGCCTTGTGGCCACCTGCACCCACCGCACTCAGCAGCATGGGTTGGGTGCCCTGACTTTGCAGTGGGGTCACTGGATCCTCCTGGAGATGGGGGCCCAGGAGGGCTGGAAGTGGGAGCAGTGGCAGGAGGCCAGGCAGGCACAGCAGAGTTGACTGTGTTTGCTGATGGGCAGATCTCCATCCTGGTCCTTGCCCAGGTAAATGTGCCCCATGGCACCAGGGCACATCCATGATAAGTTTGGGACCACAAACCAGGCTGTTCCAGGCTGTGCTGTATCCCATGGGGGGGCTGGGAGATGCTGCTCTTCTCCAGGAGTTGCAGTGGAGACTGGAAGTTCCTCCTCATTAAATATCAAGGTGGCACTTTCTCAGCATCATTCCCTCATCTGGCAAACCAGAAGGTGATGGGCTCTATGGAAGGAGCTTGAGCCTCATGGTCACGGGTCTGTCTCAGGGAGTCCAGGAGCATCCTTTCCTCTCGGAGCCTGCCAGGCTGCTTGAAGGATGAAGGCTCAGGAGCTCAATTAGCGCACGAGCACTGTGGGTTTTTCCTCTGTTGCCCTAAACCGAGTGATCAGAACGATCAAGGAGCTGGAGAGTTCAGAAAGGATTTTCTTAATTTCACAAGCGGTTCATGCCTGTTCAAATCAAATTAATTTTTTAGTGAGTCTTGGCCATTTTCCAGCCCTTTTAGGTCTCTAAAGAGACGTATTTTGCTGTGGATAGACCAAACCCAGTAATTAGATTTCTCAGCCTCAAGTGCTACTCGCAGCGTTTACACACACCGAGGCAGTGTCCCCTTCAAACCGGGCTGTTTGCCTGCAATGGGGAAAACTGAGGAGGGGAGGAAAAGCTGCTGCAGGGTTTTCCTGCTGCTCCCAGGCTTGTAGAGCACGAATGTAACTGCTCAAGTTTGGATGGAGGTGGCGGTTGTCAGCGTTGGTGCTGCCCATGGGGTGTTCGGTGCTACAGGAGCCACGGGACCGCTTTGGGGGCCACTGAGGGCAGGAGCCCGGGTGCCGCGCATCTCCCGCCGGCTGCTCAAGCTCATTTGTGTTTCTCTTTCTCTCGGTCCCTGTACATCTCTTAACGGGCTCAGGCAGCGATTGCCAAAGTCCTGCACACCGAGGACAGGCACCGGATCAAAGCCTCGCCGTTCGTGGGGCTGGTGCTGGACGAGAGAGTGGACGTCCTGGAGCAGCGCAGCCTCGCCGTGTTCACCACCACCGTGTCCCCCTGCAGCGGGCAGACCTCCGCCACCTTCCTGGGCAGCTTCGAGCTGCCCGCCGGGGGGGCCTCGCCGGTGGCGGGCAAGGTGGCCGAGGTGATGCGCTCCTTCGGCATCCCCACCATGAAGCTGACATGGCTCCGCGCCGACAGCGCCTCGCTGGTGGCCGAGCGGCTGAGCGGGGCCGGCACCGCGCTCACCTCCCTCTGCCCGCTCCTCATGGAGATGCACTGCTTGTCCCACGGGAGCTCCCTGCTGCCGGCCGACAGCATCAGCAGCATCGAGTACCTCCAGAAGTACGAGACCACTGTGGATGCTGTGTACAGGCTCTACTCCAGCTTCAGGGGGGAAGGCAATGGTCTGCAGGAGCTGCGGAGCGTCCTGGAGCTCTGCGAGATAGACCTTGGGAGCCCCAGAGCCGTCCACTGGACTTCGATATTCCCAGCTGTGGAAGCCATTGATTCCTCATGGCCCACGCTGGTGCTGCTGCTGGAGAGCGAGGCGGAGAGGTCCCCCGTGGCCCACGGTCTCTGCGAAGAGCTCAAGAAGTTCCAGTTTGTGGCCTTCACCAAGATCCTCCTGGATGTCCTCCCCATCTTCCAGAAACTCAGGCGCTTCTTCCAGATCGAGGACTTTGACCTCTCCATCCTGAAGCCCATCGTCTCCACCACGGCCACCACCCTGCAAGCCCAGAAGAGCACCAGCGGCCAGCACCTGCAGGAGTTCCTCAACGAGATGAATGAGCATCCCCGGGATGACCGGGAGGGTGAGAGCCGCCTCTACTACAAGGGTGTGGAGCTGGCCAACTGCTCCAAGGCGCATCTCAAGCACTTTGAGCGCCTGAAGGAGAGCTACCTGGAGAGCGTCCGGGGCAACCTGCTGGACCGCTTCCCCAGCAGCATCCTGGAGGCCATCAGCTCCTTCTCGGCCATCTTCAACCCCAAGTGCTACCCCCAGTCTTTGGAGGACATTGGCACCTATGGGGTCAGCGAACTCAACTTCCTCCTGCAGGCTTACTCCCGGGTGGTGGTGAGTGAAAGAGCCCTGAGCGACTTCCCCCTCTTCAAGCGGATCGTCTTCAGCCTCAGCCAGCTCTCCTTCAAGGACCTCTGTGTCAAGCTGGTCTACAGCAGCTCCGAGATGCACGAGCTCTTCCCGGACTTTGCCGTGCTCGCAGCCATCGCCCTGGCCCTGCCGTTGGGCTCCGTCCTGGCCGAGAAGATCAACCGGGGCCGGGAGCTGCTGCAGCGCGGGCGGGCGCGGCGCGGGAAGGACGAGGGGCTCTCGGACCTCATGAAGATTGCCATCGACGGGCCAGCCAGCAGCGAGTTCGACTTCGCCTTGGCCATTGAGTACTACGAGAGCGCGAGGGAGCCCGGCTTCATCGTGGCGCAGGTGAAGTGAGGGGAGCCGGGTCCCATGGGCACTGCCTTGGTGCTGCCCTTCCCCATCGCTGGATGGTGACCTGCTCCGTGCTGCAAAGAGGAAACAGGATCCTTCCTGCCGGTCCCACATCTCCCTCATCCCCCAAACGCCGAGTTTGAAACCTTGGAGCCACCTGAAACCCCAAACTGCTGAGGTCCATGAGGATTTGTCATCCTTTTCGTTTCGGGAGATGGAGGCAAGCCTTCTCGTGAGCTCAAATGTCACGTTGCCTTTGCACAATGACACCCGGCAGCTTAGACTTAATCCTCTGCAAAACTGCCTGCTTTTTGTTGGTTTGGAGCCTGGAGAATGATGCAGAAAAGGCAAGAGCAGCGTTCCAGCCTGGAATGCCTGGCGGTGCGTGTTGGCATTCCTCGCGCACAGCACAAAGTATTTTTAGCAGTGGCATCAAGTCATGATCGTTTCAAGAGCAGGAGATGTAGGGAATGATCTTGTAATCACCGAGGAAATAGTAACTTTGAAATGCATCCTTGTGTATATATGTGTATGTGTGTATATATATACATAAATATATATAAATATCTATATTAAAAAGGTCTATCTGAATTTTCCTAGTGCTGAAAGTGCAAAGAGCTCTAAAAGGACTTTTCTTTTGCCATGTCGGAATAAATGACAAGCAAGGATCCAAAACCAAACAGCGAATTCTCAGCCTTTCCAGAGTGTCATCAGGTACCTGCATTCCCTTTGCCCTCTGAGCGATCTAAACCCAAAGAGTCTGTTAACATCTGCTTTTTGGGGCAGACCTGAGCCATTTAGCTTGTGTTGTACCTTCTGATCATTGCCTTCACCCTGCAGTGGGCCGGGCCTGCTCTGCCACTGGGGTCTGGTGCCGTGCGTGGTGTGTCCGGGTGTTGCTATGGGGCCTCTCTGGTTTTACCTGGGGAGGAATGGCTTCTGCAGCTCTGTTGGGTGGGTGAGAGGGGTCTCTTCTCACTGGTTTCAATCTGCAGTAAAGCCACTGCAAGCAGCCTCGAGCATCACTTGGTTCAATCCGGGGGCCGGGTCCTCCCATGGGATTCAGCTCCTCTCCTTCCCTGGGTAAGTTCCCTGTGCTGCAGGCGCAGGTCCATGTCCAGCAGGATTTGACCCCATTGTCCCTAACACTGACAGTCCCCATTGCCCTCGGGGGTGGTTTGCTGTCTGTCTGACCCAGGGGTACCACGCTGTAGGACACCCATGCTGGGTGGGGTGTCTGGGGGGGTCCCGCAGGCTCCCATGGGCACACTGTGCCCTGTGCCTGTGGTGGAGGCAGGGAAAGCTGGAATTCTGTCCTTGGGGCTGGCAGCAGGTGACTGCTGATGGCCCAGAGCCCGTGTCCTTCAGCTGATCCGCAGGGAGGAGATGCTGGTTTGATGGTGAGTGTGTTTGGGTGAGAGCGGCTGGCTCACCAGCATCCCTCAGTCTGGGGTATGTGATTCTTGGCGTGCCCTTGCTTGGCAAGGGGGGTTTTGCTGCTTTCTGTCTTCTGTGCATGGAGAGGGGGAGCCTGTGGCTGTCACGAGCTGGAAACAGGATTTAGCAGGGTGATGCTCGCACTGCCCTTATGTTCCCAGGGAGCGTGGTCCTGCTGCAGGTGCTGCTTGGAGCAAACCCCCTGTGCTGGGGCAGCAGCAGCATCGCCGTCTCCAGGGCTGGCCGTGGGTGCTGAGGTCCAGGTTGGGTTTGCTGGGTCTGGTTGCTCTGGGAGTCCAGCACGCTGCAATCTATTTATTAATATGTTATGAATATATATTAAGTTATAGATTCATCATTAATATAATATAATGTAGATTAATGTATTCATTACTGATCTGGACCCTGTGCAGCGCTGGGGCTGCTGTGGTGCAGCGTTGGGAGCGAGGGTTGCTCCTCTCCTGATGGCAGCCTTTGGTGTCGGGAGCTCACACGTGTTTCCCGGAGTCACCTGGAAAGAGCTGAGTGAATCCAGCCCCGTTCTTGGCCAGAGACAAAAGCTTTAATGCCCTGGGTAAGGAATGCGAGACGCCACCAAAATGCCCTGAGAACACCAACAGCCAGGGAGGGAGCCAGGCTGCTTCCATGGGAATACCGCACGCCTGTCTCCATCTGTCCCAGGCAGACTCCGCACCAGATGCTCTTTGGAGGCAGCCGGCGTCTGCGGAGATGGGTCCTTGGCAGATGCTCGTGTTGGTACAAAAACACCCTGCGTTGTCGCTGCTGCTTCTTGGAGGTTCACACGTACGTGGGGCTGGAGCACAACAGTGGCTCTGATCTGCTCGCAGGCAGCCTGGGAGATGATGCTGCAGGCGTGTGTGGGGGGTGAAGAGGGGCTGGGTACAGCAGCCAGGCACGGTCCTGGGTGGGCTGGGTTAAATGATGGACTGAAACAGAGCTTCCATTGCAAGGGACCCCTCTGGGAGTGTGTACCAGCAGGATGGGAACTGGGCTGAGCTTCAGAGGGCTGGGAAGGGGCTGAGCTGGTGGCTGTGGCCTGAGCAGCAGATAGAGGATGTGGCAGCACAGAGGTGATGCTGTGTGGTTTGGGGTCTCAGTTAAGAACATGCCCTCTCCCTGTGGTCCATGAGGTGCTGGGAGCACAGAGCTCCTTCACTCCCCTCTGTACACCAGCCTTTCAATGCTCACCATGGAGCCCCAAGAGCATCCTGTGCACACGGGGAAGGAAAAGGGCAGAGGATGGCCCCACGCTGGAGCTGCACTCCGAGCATCCGGGGATGCCATTCACTGGCAGAAGCCCACGCTGCTGGGGCCATGCCCTTCACCTCGGGTAAGGTCGTGTCATCCTATACAGACCTGGTGGCCCTGCCACCGTCCCCAGAGCAAATCCCTTAATTCAGCATCTAATTAATACCTAAAAATACAGCCCGCAGCTGCTGGCGGAATCTGCCCTGCAGCAAAGGTAAGGCAGGAGCCGCAGCGCTGCTGCCCCGTAACCTTGGGGAGGTGCCTCAAGAGCATCGCGTCCTGGCGGGTGCCTGAACACGCTGATGCTATGGAGGCTTTCAGCCCTTCTCCTGCTCCCTGGGTCTTGTTTACTCCAGTGGCAGAACCAGGAGGGAAAGGTCCTGCCCCCTTCTGGGGTCTCTGGGTTCTCTCCTAATGCCTTATTTTACCCCTGGACTGCAGGAATATGGCTAATGTTCACTCTGGTGCTCAAGGATGCACCAGAGGTGCTGGTGTACCTCATCCTGACCGTGTTGGTGGGCAGTGACTGCACGTGTGCCCCACCACTCCCAGCTCCTAAGGAGCAAAGCCCTTGGCTGTGGGTCAGCAGCCAGGTTTTACTATTGGCATGGTGGCACTGGCTGAGCTACAGCCCCCCTTTATTCGGTTGCTGTTGATAGGGGTGGAGGCATTCACCCGCCCTCTTGATCCTCCAAGGGGTAAATGCAATATATATCATATATATACATGTTGTATATTATATACATGTTATATTACATATATATGTGTCTTTCTGAGGCTGGTGCAGTCAGTGCAAGGCGTGCTGAGGAAGGTGGAGGGGGAACACCCCAACCCTCCACCCCAAGATGCCTCCATTGCAGCTGCTGCTTGAGCATCCCTGGGCCCAGCGCATTCCTGGACCCAGAGCATCCCTGGGGGCTGGAGCATCCCTAGGCCCAGAGCATCCCTGGGACCTGGAGCATCCCTGGGGCCGGAGCATCCCTGGGGCTGGAGCATCCCTGGGTCCAGAGCATCCTTGGGGCTGAGCATCCCTGGGCCCCGGAGCATCCCTGAGGCCGGCTCTGCCGTCTCGGGTGCTTTGGTGCAGAGATGCTGTTTCCCGGCCCCAGTTCTGCCCCGGCTCCCTCCCTGCCGCTGCCGCTCTGCTTTCCCGTCTCTGTTTGCGAGCAGTTTCACAGATTCCCCTCCTGGGCGGCTCTGGAATTAACGCGATCAGCGCACGCCTCATGGAGCGCAAGGGGAATTTTCCCTGGAGTGAGGCCTGACCCGGGGCCGCTCCGGAGCCGTGTGCGCTCTCCCAGAAGGAGGTCGGAGCTGCCCAGGGGCGAGCGCCCGCTGCTCACATCCAGGGTAGCTTCTGCCCTTTGCGTTTCAGAGCTGGGGCTCGGCTCCTGCTTGGAGCAAATCCCAGCGGGGAAGCAGCTCCAAGGCGCTGCGGAGCGGGGGCCTCATCCTGCACAGCCGGTGGGGGCTGGGGATTGCGGCTCCTGGTGTGGGAGCACTGACCCTCGAGGCACTGCTGCGGGCAAGGGGCTGGGATGCTGCTGGGCTCCAGCGCTGCCCCTGAGCTGAGAGAGAACCAGAATCAGAAAGTAGGGGTCCTCAGAAGCCCGTTGCCCTTGTTGCAGTGGGTGGAGGAGGAGGGAAGCCGTGCGAGATGTGACCGAGCGTTCCTGGCTCCCAGCAGCGTGAAATCTTCTCGTCTTCATTGGATTTTACTCTTTCCATTGTGTGTTTTCACGTTCTCCCCTCTCAGAGCCGGGCATGGGCACAGGAGCCCAGCCTGGGCCCCCCACGGGTCAGAGGCTGCTTTCCCGCAGGATGGATCAGTCCAAGTGGGAAACCACTGCCCTTGGGCTGCGGAACGGGAGGAAGCACTGGGATGGGAGCAGGCTGGGACAGGTCCCCACTGCGTGGCCTCCCCTCCCTCCCAGCGGTGCACATCTCACCCTCACACGCAGGCGTTCTGCTGGAACCGGGATGCTGGTTCTGAGCCCAAAAGGGAGAACATGGCCAGGGCTGGGACCTTCACCTCTGGGGGGTCCAGGGCCTCATGGCCCCCCCCCAGCTGCACCACCGCTAACGCTGCTCTTTCCCCTCTGCCTCCCCAGGTCCCTCCGGACACAGCAGCCCCCTCTTAGCATCGTTGCCTATCCCCGGCCGTCCCCTCCATCCCCCCTTGGACATCAAGCACTTTCTGACCTTGAGGCTCAACGGGACGTCACCGCTCAACCTCTTCCCCAACTTCAACACGGTGAGTGTCCCGTGCCCCCCCTCGAGGTAACACGGTTTTAACCATGACCAATTCAGTTTTGTTGCTGGAACCAGTAGCAATGAAGGAGCGCTGGAGAGCAGTTTGTTAGCTGAAAATAAGGAAGGAAGGAAAGAAAGAGAGAGGTGTATGAAGGCACAAGGCTGCTGCTGTGTGGCTGCGGATGTGGGGTAGCCTGGGTGCTGTGGGTCTTTTCCCACCACCCATCTGGGCTCAAGGTCCCCAACCTCAAACTACTGGACCCCGTGCTTGGGTTATGCCCTTCAGTGTGGCCCTAGTGATGTTCTGGTTGACGTCTAAACTGACATGGATGTGGCCAAGGATGTACAACAGCATCTCAGGGGTGAAATAGTGCTTTCCTTGCTTGGTGCCACCCTCCTGGCACTCTTCCTTATGGGAAGGATGGGATCTGCCCTAGGAGCCCCTCTCTTGCCTTGGTTTGGGTCCCTGTCCTGCTGTTCCACTGCAGCAGTGGGGTGGCTGTTCCTGGGTTTGGTGGATGCTCCTTCCCTGGCCTCTTGTAAGTGGCTTTGGGATTAAACATGCTCAGAAGGTGCAAATTATCACTGAGATCTTCAAAGGCGAGCACAGAAATGAAG